TAAATATGTCATATTATATTGCAAGAGGCTTCCCTGGTGGCTCAGAGGTTGAAGCATCTGTCTGCAATGCAGGAGACCTGGGTTCGATCCCTGGGTTGGGAAGATCCCCTGGAGAAGGAACTGGCCACCCACTCCAGTATTCTTGCCTGGAGAATCCCGTGGACGGAGGAGCCTGGCGGGCTACAGTCCACGGGGTGGCAAAGAGTCGGACACGACTGAGCAACTTCACTTTCATATTGCAAGAGTTTTAGCTTTTTGAGTTTTTGTTTTACTTTTTTGGCCTGACCGGACCTTACAGCTTGAGGGATCTTAGCTCCTCCACTCCCAGGGACTGAACCTGCACCCTCAGCAGTCAAAGCATGGAGTCCTAACCACTGGATGGGCGGGGAAGTTACAAGAGTTTAGCCTAACATATATTTGAAAAGAGAGGAGGTCATAGCAACAGACTCCAGTATTCTTGCCTGGAGAATCCCATGGACAGAGGAGCCTGGCGGACTACAGTCCATGGAATCGAAAAGAGTCAGACATGACTGAGTGACTAACACACACACACTTTTGAAAGAAAAGAACCCAGATGTCATCTAGAGGACCTTGTTTATTAAGCTCTGGGGTGTCTTCCCCACCCCACCCCCAAACCCTGAGTGAGACGGGGCAGGAGATGGGGCAGACCCTCAACTAAAAGCAAAGCAAAGCTCAGGACAGGTGGGCAATGTGTGCCTTTCATCACAGAAAAGGAAACAGAGTTTACACGTGCATTTGTTTATTATGCAAAGAAACAAAAATAAATTAATAAAGGAGGTGGAAGAAATAGGTGGAGTGGGAAAGATGGGAGAGCGAGTGGAATAGAGGCGGGTCTAAACCTTTCAAAGTATCCCTTTTCGTGTTTTTTGATTTTTGAAATATGATTCCATGTGTATTCGAACTTTTCATTTTAAATGTAACAAAATTTTGGAGAAGGAAATGGCAACCCACTCCAGTATTCTTGCCTGGAAAAGTACATGAATAGGAGTCTGGTGGGCTGAAGTACATGGGATTACATGACTGAGCATGTGTGCACGAGGGTGGAGGGAGATGGGTGGGTAGCAATGAACTGGTAGAATTAAAAAATAAAAATTAAAAAAAAAATAAATGTAACAAAATTTAACACCGCGATGGCCCTACCCTCTCCTCCCACTATGAGCTCCTAGCCGGTTCAAAGCGCAGGACGTCCACGGCAGGAGCCAGCCTTTCTTCCTGGAGCGGACGGGGCGCGGGAGCAAAGCAGATGAGGCGGGCAGTGCAAGCGAGAAGGCCGAAGCCGGGGGCACGGACCCCAGGTCTGCTCGCTCACCTGGAAGAAGGAAGCGCGCGGAAGCCGGCGAGTCTGAACCCGGGAGGGCGCTGGGAGCGAGCGGCGGCGCCTGCGCTACCTCCGGAGGCCACGAGGGGTCAGTCGCACGCCNCACGGCCCCCAGGTCTGCTCGCTCACCTGGAAGAAGGAAGCTCGCGGAAGCCGGCGAGTCTGAACCCGGGAGGGCGCTGGGAGCGAGCGGCGGCGCCTGCGCTACCTCCGGAGGCCACGAGGGGTCAGTCGCACGCCGCCCGCCGCGGGTGCTGCCAACGCAGGTGCCACAGGTGCGCGCCGCGCGCAGCGCCTGCTTCTTCCTCGGGCCACTTCCCAGCAAACGACAGTCCCCGGGGGCGGGGGAGCGGAGGACTCTGGCAAAAGCTCCCGGCAAGAATCCATTCCTCCCGGGCCACAGGAAGCGGAGACAGTTTCCGAGGCTGGGACAGCGCCGAAGGCTAATCAGGGCTCTCGAGGGTGGGTCAGGGGAAGGGTCAGCCTGTCGCCTGAAGCCTGGCCTCATTGAACTAAGGAATGGAGCGACGGTGGGTGGGTTAGGAGCTGATTAGCAGGAACCCCTGACAGGAGAGAAAATAGCTGCGTGTTGTAAGGTGATCACTGAGCCAGGAAGCGGCTGTCACCTGCTGTGTGATCTGGGAGAGTTACTGGCCCTCTCTGGGCCCCAGTTGAGTCCCTGGTCACTCCGGTTAGATAAAATGATCTTCAGACCTCTCCCAGCTCTCATTATGTGAATCTAAAACTTCCAGTCCCCTGACGCTTACCCCCCAGAGGGGGCTTAGCCCCACGGAGGTCTGGCTGGACCAAGCAGACCTCATCCCCCAACATGGTCTCCAGACAGTCCCCAGGGAAAGGCCCTTTGGAAGGTCAGATCCTGGCCATCCTGAAGGCTATTGGCTGAAACACCTGGACCCAGGGAACCCAGCATCTCTGCCTGGGCCACACCATCCAGGTGAGAACTGGGAGCTATAGTTATTTCTCATCTGAAAGTGCTCACCACCCCGACCGTCCTGCCAGACCCTACACAGTGGATGAGCTTCCAGACACAGATGAAAGGACACAGAAGGTTACATTGTCTTTAGGATGACTGCTATTTAAAGTAACATATACTATGTATGTGAAAATAACATTTATAATCCAGCAGTCTGATTCAATTTGGCCAAATGCATCTACACGCAGCCAGACTTCAAGGGGTCCAGTCTTGCAAGGGGCGTGGCTCATATCAGTCATTCAAGCACCTCATCTGGGGAACTTGACATTTGGGGATCCATTCAAGGTGGCTGAGGTGGGTGAGCCACCTATTTGCTGGTGAGCTGTAAGAATCCAACAGGCAGGTCTTCCCGAGGATGTTCCTGGCAGCGCCTCCCGACCTAGAGGATCAGGCTCCCTTCCAGCCTGGAGTGCTGACCTCGCTGTAACTGATCTCAGCTCTGCATCTGCCTCATCCCAGATGAAAGCCCACCTGGACTGGGGCCCCTGAGGCTTCACGACAAGTTTGAAGGTCCCTCTTAGGGAAGATTTAAAATCACTAATACACGGTTTCTCTTGCAAGGGGGTCAATGCCCCTGAGACAGAGCTTCAGTAACACCAGTAAATCTGCTCCCATGTTAAGTCACTCCTGAGCACTGAAAGCCCACGGGTTTCTCTTCTTCCAAACATTTCCCTTGTCCTCTCCCTCCCTGGAGGCATTTGGGACCAGTGGGAGGGGCCAGTGGAAGAGGCCGCAGTGGAGGTCCAAGATGGACCACAAACAAGGGCATCAGCAAATATTAAGATGCCTTGAAGATTCCATGGAGGTCGTGGGTGCCAGGGTCTCACTGGTGGGGAACAGAGGGATATGGGAGGGCTGAGGCTGGGATCAACCCTATGGTCTTTAATAGAACTGCAGATGTGGATATAGACCCATATTTTTTTTTAAACTCAGATAAATTTGGAAACATAAAATGTACATGTCTAAATATATATTGCATTCTAACATGCATAAACTGGGCTTCTTCAATGGCTCAGTGAGTAAAGAATCTGCCTGCAATTTTGAAGACACAGGAGACATAGGTTTGATCCCTGGGTCAGGAAGATCCCCTGAAGAAGGAATTGGCAATCCACTCCAGTATTCTTGCCTGGGAAATCCCGTGGACAGAGGAACCTGGTGGGCTACAGTCCATGGGGTCCCAAAGAGTCGGACGCGACTAAGTGAATAAATACACAGATACATATATAAATTATATTTCTGTATATCTGATTATTTTTATATAAATTGTATTTATCTATATCTGATTATTTTTACACACATCAGTAGCAACAGGAACATCTAATGCCCAGATCAAGACTTCTAAATATTATTCTCTATGAAAAAGAACCAGAGCTCTTTGGAGAAATGGTTGATCTTCAGCCACAGACATGGAAAGTGTAAAATGAACCTAAAACATTTTGTTGTGTCAGAAAGCAAATAAGTACTCAAAGAATAGTAGGAATTTATCCAAGAGTCTCAGGAGCCAGCTTAACAGAGTTTCTGTGACCACATCTACAAAAGTTGGGCATCAAAATAAATAATAATTGTCATAGATTATAATCCACTGATAGCCAAAATCCATGAGCCATAGTGGTAATCAACCAATTGATCAATGAGAAGAAGTTCTTCTTACAGAAGAATGGCAGCTGATAAATATAGGAGAAATGGTAGAACCAGAAAAATCACTATGTGATGTTTTTATCTTCCAGACATTTTCTATGTCATCTTTCGTGTCCTTCCGCTAATGTGACCTGGACCATCTTCCATCAGAAGGCAGGGTCTCTACCCCCTCCTCTTGAAACTGAGGGTGTTCAGCCTAGAGAGATTCGACCCAGGATAGCCAAAATGATAATAAAAGAGTTTTTAAAAGGAATTTGACCTCAGTCTAAGAAATATAGACTCCTGGAGTTCAAATCAGAAAAAGATGTTTTCTGAACAGGAGCTTCTGCTACAGATTTCCTGAAACAGCATGCTCCCGTCCAACTGTGCACCATGATTTTGTTTATAAGAATTCGATTAACACAGGTTAGAAGATCAGCATGTCAGGGCCCCTCAGGAAGTCCCAGAGGTGTGTGTGAAACCAGCTTTCCCTTCTCTGCCAGCAGCAACCTGGTGAGTTCAGGTCTGGCCCTACTGGTGTTTCTGGTTCTCTGCTTGGACTCTGCCTGTTCAACAGGAATGAAGGCACCACAGCTGATTTGTTTTCCCAAATCAGAGACCCTACACTCCTGGGAGACCCCTGTGACCATGGCAACATGCTGCCGAAGCTCATTCTGCTATATTCTGTTGTCACCATTAATTGACTTGAAGTCAGCTGAACTGGGACCTGTATGCCCCACCGTGGGACTGATGAAGGCTGTGAATCAAAAGGTCTTCGAGACTATCTCTGGGAACCAGCCTGTGGGTGAAGACCCCAGTCAAGCAGGCTGTCCAGCATCAGGAGCCTGGGCCCAGGGGGAGGTCCTGCGGGCTCCATGCAGGGGATGGGGGATAAGAAGAAGACTCACATTGCCGGGCCTTGTAAGGAAGGCATCAGTTCTCCTTCACACCCAGGGCCCAGCAAGGCCAGGCTGGCTCCTTGCCCTCTTTCTCCCAAGGGCCGGGCTGGGAGACCGATCTGACCCAGCTCAGCATGACAGGGCACAGGCATTCTTGCAACACAACGTTTATTGAGGGCCGACTAGGCAAGGGGCAGGCTAGGCTCCTGGCTCGCAGTGGACATGAACCGGCCACGAGTGCCTGTGCAGGTGAAGGTCTGGGGGAGGAAGGCCGCTCAGAAATAAATCCATAATGACACATCGGGTGAAGTCAGGAGGGAGCGAGCAAGGTGCCCCAAGGGACAAGTCTTTCTGAGATGAGGACCTGAAACGAAGCCTGGGGGTGACAGGAGGCAGCAGACGGAAGTGGGGAGAAAGAGCATTCCCGGCAGAGAGAGCCAGGAGGGGCCCAAGGCCAGAGGCCAGTGTGCTCGGGCGCCTGGGGTGGGATGACAAGGAAGGGATCCATGTTCATAGGATGCTGGGAGCCCGGTAGGGGCTTGTTGAGGGGGGTTCTAAGTGCTCTGAATTGTCACAGTGGAGTACCCTGGTTTAATTTAACTTTAAACAGTCACTGCTCTGGGGAAAATGAGCAGGAGAGGGCAAAGGGAAGAGGGAGATGAGTTAGGGGCTCATGTGAGTCAGGCCAGAGTCACAGCGGCCTGATGGACAAAGGGAGGTGACTTCCCTGGATTCTGGACCATTGGGAAGAGGGAGGCAGATGTGGAGGGTGACACAGCGGTCCCCTCACTTGGGGCCCCTGGCCAGCCCAGCTACAAACTTCTGCCACCTCTCCGCCCAGGTCTCCATGGCAGATTTCTTCTCGGTCTCCGACAGGGTGCTGTACCTGTGGGATGGGGTGGGATGCCCAGCTCAGCCTGGGGAGGGAGCGGGAGGGGACCTCGGGTGCTGGCAGGGCTCCATGTCCCCAGTCCAAGAGCAGCAATGGTGTAAGAGGCAGAGAAGCTCATGGGAACCTTCTGGACCTCTGCCCACACCTCAGAGCAGTGGACTCAGGCGGTGGTAGAGTGGTTCACGTGGTAGACTCACCTGATAGAGTTGACGGCCAGCTGTTTGAGCGTCCTCAGGTCGGCCGACATCCCGCCGATGCCCATGAAGGCCTCGTAGAAATCGTAGGACAGGCCTTTGGCCCCAAAGGCTGCGGGGTCGTCTGAGCTAATCACCATGGGGTACCCAGCGGCCATCATGACGGCGGCGGGGTGGTTTCTCAGGTCAGACACTAGCTTCAGGACCTGCTCGGGCAGAGACAAGCATGGATCCTTGAGGACTCGTCACGAGGGAGGTGAGACCGTGAGCAGGATCGGGCCCTTCTCTCCCTGTGACTGTTCCGAGCATCAGGACAACCCTGGGCAAAGTCCTGATGCAGAAAGAGCCAGTCCTACTCAACCATCTAGTCTCCGCTGGCCCAGCTTGAGCTGCTGTCCTGAGCACAGAGCCCCGAGGAGCCATGTGGCAGTGGGGGATCCCACATTCCCCCCTGCGTGCCCCCCCAGGGCACCTTTAGCTCTTGTCTACAGCTTCGCCCACAGTCCTGCCCCACTGGGGACCCTCATTACTGGGAACGGTTTAGGCAAAGGCCATTCCTAAATAACTTCATGAATGCTAGTGAGAGAGAGAGAGTGGAGGGACACAAGGGCGTCTTGGAGTGACCACGGGGAGGGAGGCTGGGGAGGCCGGTACCTGGTTGGAGATGGGACAGACTTCGATGGGGATGTCCTTCTTCCAGGCTTCAGCCAAGACCGCCGGGTGCTTGCTCAAAGCAAATCCATGGCCAATCCGGGTTGAGTTCAGTATCACGGCATCCAGAAGATTTCTGTCTACNCGGTACCTGGTTGGAGATGGGACAGACTTCGATGGGGATGTCCTTCTTCCAGGCTTCAGCCAAGACCGCCGGGTGCTTGCTCAAAGCAAATCCATGGCCAATCCGGGTTGAGTTCAGTATCACGGCATCCAGAAGATTTCTGTCTACCGAAGTTCCCTCCCAATCTGGGAATAGAGAGGGGTCTTCAGTAGGATGGATAGGACTCCAGACCTTCGGCAGGTGAAGGCCCCAGAGCTCCCAGGCAGGAAAAGGAAGAGAAATGAACATTAACACAAATGTGCACACACTTTTCCTTCTGACAACGCTGCAGGAGTGGGTACGGCCTGCCTGTATGTACCTGTGTGTGTGTGTGTGTGTGTGTGTGTGTGTGTGTATAACAGGTGAGGAAGCGGAAACCCACACAGGCTTTATAGGCTGAGGGAAGGTCCTCAGGTAGAGAGCAGAAAAAGTGGGTTTCAAGTCTTGGTCTGCTTGACCCACAGTCCGTATTCTCTTTTTTTTTTTTTTGACTGAACCAGATGGCACATGAGATCTCCATTAACTGATCAAGGATCAAACCTGCAGTGGAAGCACAGACCCCCCACCAACCACTGGACCACCGGGGAATTCCCTGCCCCTGTTTCCCCATATTCTTTCTTTCCATCTTATGTTAGTTTTTAGAAACTGTTTTCTTGGAATTTTATGTGTAAGATCTTTACAGTGTGCTGCAGACTCTGTCACTATAATGACTTGTATTAATGTGCACTTACTTTAATTTCCATCTTAACAAAACTCCTGGGACAACCCATGGCAAGGTAGCCGCAGCCAGCAGGAACCAGCCACCCCACTGGACCTTCCCGCTGGCAGGGCCTCCTGGTTAGAGGTGAGAAGACCGTTCTGACTCCACCAGCCTCCCCAGCAGCCTGGGATGGGGTGGGGGACTCCTGCAGCTCCCCGCCCCACCATTCAGGGAGATGCCCTGGAGGAAACAACTATTTTTGGCTTCACTGGATGTAGTCACATCCGGATGTGACACAGATAGTGATATCTGTGAACAAATGGGGAGAGATCCCAGGCCCAGGAGGACAGCAACGTTGATTACGGTGAACGGTCACAACAGACCTGAATGTGGGTCCTACGGGGTATGTAGGCCCCATTGCTGGACACCAAAAGCATCCTAACTGACCCACATGTGAACTAGGAAAATGCCACACTTCTCTTGGGAACGAAGCCCAAGAATTCCCGTTGCTGGTGAGGGCATGTACTTTAGGCGAATTTTCACTGGTTTCCTAACACTGTCTTTTCAAAGATGTTTTCTTTTTTTTTAATAAAGGTGCATGCTAGGTCGCTTCAGTTGTGTCTGACTCTTTGCGAACTCATGGACTGTAGCCCATCAGGCCTCTCTGTTCACGGGATTTTCCAGGCAAGAATACTGGAGGGAGCTGCCATGTCTTCCTCTAGGGGTTCTTCCCTACCCAGGAATCAAACACTGGTCTCCTGCATTGCAGGTGAATTCTTTACCTACTAAGCCACCTGGATTTTGTTCAGTCGCTCAGTTGTGTCAAACTTTTTGCAACCTCCATGGACTGCAGCATGCCAGGCTTCTCTGTCCTTCCCTTTCTCCCAGACTTTGTTCAAACTCATGTCCATCGAGTCAGTGATGTCATCCAACCATCTCATTCTCTGTTGTTGCCCTCTCTTCCTATCCTCAATCTTTCCCAGCATAAGGGTCTTTTCCAATGAGTCCACTCTTCGCATCAGGAAGCCAAAGTATTGGAGCCTCCTGGGAAGCCCATTAAATATTCAAGTCCTGGCAAAATCCTTTTCTAGGACCATGTCCTGGGATTGAATTGATTTCAGAGATGATTATGGTTTCCCAACCAAACCTCAGGGACTTCAAGGCTAACAAATGCCACAGCCCCTGCCCCGCCCTGACCCATCCCAGCTTCCCATACCTCACAAACCATTCTTTACATCTCCTAGAACAGCTTTGATCTAAATTGGCTCCAAATGGACTTGAAATGTCCAGAAAAAGAGATAAATGTGCAGGAACCCTTGCTTTGGAGCTGGTGTGAGATGCCAGGTTTCAGCCTGGCTGTGAAATCCTGATTCTACCCTTGGCTCCTTGGTCCTCTCAGGTGGCCGGACTCTTGGGTGTTCTGAGGTGTGTGGGGATAGGGTGCAGCAGATCTAAGCCCCCCATATCTTCCCCGGGATCTGACGTTGCAGCTGTGACCTGCTGCTTCTGCTGAGGGTTTACACGTTTTGAGGAGCGTCTGGAGGCTAAGCGAAGACCAGTGAGCCCACGGACAGAGCTTTGAGGGGCAGAGACCTGGCCAGGCGGATGCCGGTTCAGAAACAAGGGCAGCCAGGCTGCTTGAGTAGAGCTGGGCCCGCTCACCCTGGTAGGTGCAGACTAAGGTCCCCCACCTCAGTCTGATGGACATGGACGGGCAGTCCCCCTTCAGTCTGGTGGGTGTTGACAGGCAGCTCCCCCAGGCTGGTGGGAGTCGACAGCACCCCCCCACCCAGCCTGGTGGGCATGGACAGTGACTCCCAGTCACAGAACTGGCCTATTGGTCCCTCTCCCCCCACCTCCCAGGGTGTGACTTTGCACATGAGTCCACCTCGAAAGCAGGGTTCGCTCGTTATGAAATTGACATCATCAGAAAGGGTTCCCAGCTCCTTCTGGTGGACCAGTCACCCTGTTTGGCTGGAGCCTCAGGCTCCTCGCTTGCAGATGGGGGTGGGGTGCCCTCCTGGCAGGACCAGGTAAGAGCCACGGGTAAGGGATGTGAAGCGCAGCTGCCCCGGCAACACTGTGCCCCCTTCTCTGGGCACTGCTATCAGCACAGGCTCAACAATGTGTGGGAAGCAGACATGCACCGTGAGCTGCTGTAGGGCTGTCCCTCCACCGGCCAGGGTCCTGTCTGTGGCCTCGGAGATGTTGAGGGGTCCCTGCCCACCAGCCCTGTGCCCGGCGGTGTCGCAGGCTCACCAGTCTCTCCCGCGTGGAAGAAGTAAGGCAGGTGAACGCCCCGCGAGGCTGGAATCATCAAAGCCTCCCTGTAGTCATACAGAGTGTGGCCCGTGTCCTCGCGCCCCACCTGCAGGACAGAGCGGGCATGTGGGGCACCTGCCGGCCCCCTGCCTCACCTTGCTGGAGCGCCCTGCCACCACTGCCACGGCCTCTGTCATGGCCGTAGAGAGAGACCAGTAGCAGGACTGGGGAAGAAAAGTAGCTGTGTGGCTCTGATATAACCACCCACCTTATTTTGGGGAGGCTGGATCCTGTGAGCAGCCCTCAAGGACCCCAGGAGGACACCCTGGTCCAGAGAAAACTAGCCCTCAAGATCTGCTCTGGGGCCCCGATGGGTCTGAGAGCAAGAGCATGAGCTCTCTTGGGTGAGACATGCAGATTCCAGAAGCAGGGTTCAGATGCATCTAGCTGGTTACACTAACTTAGCTTCTTCATAAGATTTAAGAAATTGTCACCTGGATGGCCCGGCTGTTATTTAGGGGAGAGGGGAGTGGGAGGGGTGCGACACCACCCAAGGATGTGCTGGAATCCCGGACAGAGCCCCCCAAGGCCCAGCCACATCTCAGCTTCCAGACACCCACCCTGGGCTGCAGGCTGAAGAGCCAGGTGTCACGCCCAGTGTGGGGACGGGGGAGTGGGGACAGCCTCTCCTCGTGGCCCTTCCTGTTCAGGAACTACACTTTCCAGCCTTCTTCTGACCTCTTCTGCTCTCCCTTTACCCCCCAAGACCCCAAGGGAGGATGTCAACAGTGCCCCTCAGCCCTTCCCCGGGGGCTTCGCTCTGGGCCCATTACCAGGTCAAACCCCGCCACTATCCCAGGGAACTTGGCACGAAGATCCATGGCTGTCTGGATGGATTTCTTGATGAGGGACTCATTTTTGGTTCTGCAGGAGAGACAGAGAGAAGCACAGGTATCAGCTCCCAAGTGGACGGCCGACCACGTCCAGGGCTCCCAGCTGCTGTGTCTCAAACCCTCGGCACAATTGCACATAACCCTACCCCATCCAGGCTGCTGAGTCCCTCTTAAACACAGAAATTTTGCCCAAATCCATTCCTGTCAAGGACTCTGGCTGCACCAGAGGGACCCAAGTCTCTGGAAAGCCAGTGGGGTAGGGGTCCACAGGGCAGGTTTTGTCTGCATTTGAATGAAGAAAGGTGGCCATGATCGAAACTTGCCCTGTGTCCCTGAGAGATGGTCCTGGAAATGTCCAGCTCTCTGCTCTCTGGGCACCTGTGAAATGCCGTGGCCACCCAGTCCCTGTGGGGCACCTGGGCCTGTCCCCTGATTCAGTCAAAAAGGCCAGAGTGCTCCGGAACCAGATGACCAGGCTGCCTCATCTCCCCCGAAGCTCTCTCCTTTCCAGCCCAGGCCAGGGACCAGGCAAGAGCATCGCCACAGGAGCACCAAAAGAAAAGGCGCAGGCCTATGACGGGGGAAGGTGTTGGCCCACCCACTCTGATCCCTAGCTCTGTGCCCCCCACACCTGCCCATCCCTCCCTGCACCCACGCAGCTGGCACTGAAGCCCTGCCCTAGAGCTCCTGCCATCAGCCCCCAGGGAGCCTTCACCATCAACTACTACTGCCAGCTCCACCCTGGCCCACCAGCTCCAGCGGCCCCAGGTCTCACCGGGAGGGGAGGGGCTCCAGGGAGGTCTGTTTGCCCTCCCACCTCCCGTGGCTTAGCAGGTGGGGCGGCTGCCCCTCCCCAGCCCTCCAGCTGGACACGGCACAGTCTATGCAGACTGACTGCCCCTCAGCAAGAGGGAGACTCTTCCTTGGTAAAGTCAGGTGAATTGTCATAGGCTTTCTGCACTCTCTGCACTTGCAGAGCAAGGGTGGGTCTGTCTTCGCAGTGCTTGAGCTTGTCGTACAGATGGGGCTGCCGTGAGGCAGAACCCAGCCACCAATTGAAACAAAACCATCGGGACATCCAGGGAAAACACTAACCCCATAACTGACCACCCAGGCCAGGGTAGGTCACATCCTGGACTTCCATGGCACATGGAGCCCATGGTGCTTGGGCCCTGGGGGTCTCTGCCCCTGGCCACAGCCTCCCTGACCTTCCTCACCCTTTTCTCCTCCTGTCCCATCCCCTCCCATCCCCATGGCTCTGCCCACAGCCTGTCCTCCCAGTTCTTCCAGGCTCAGCTTCACTCACTCTCACCTGTGATCCGAAAAAATGAGTTTGATTCCAACAAACCCAGGATGCGTTTTTGCAAAATTATGAGCCACTTCTTTGTAAGTCCTCACCAACCACTCTCGGCCGTAGACCGTCCCGTTCAGTTCATACACCTGTGAGGGAAGCAGGGTTCCAGCCAGATGTCAGAGGTGAGCAAGGCAGAACTTCATTCCCAACTGCCAACAATCTCCAAAGCCTGGTTGACGGCCTCTGAGGTTGACCAGAAGTCCCAGCCCTGAATGGGCTGATGCTCTTGGTACTGTGAGGCTGGGGTGTCTGCTTCTCATTCAAGCCTGGGTCCTTCCACCTAGAATAGTGTCTGGTACTCAGGAAGTGTTTGTGCAGCAAGTGAGCAGCAGGCCAGCTGAGGACAGGATGCCAGCCAGAAAGAGTGGTCTGAGGACCCTCTTCATCTCCCCACTCTCCCACCCCGAGGTGGGGGACCCTGAGGCAGCCGAGCCACTAGGGACACCAAGGTGACATGGCCAGGGGCAGAGTGGGAAGATGCAGGGATGCACAGTAGATTTGACAGAGTTAAAAAAACACAGTGGAGAAGAACAGGCCTTTTGCTTCTTCATCTCTGGGGGTCTTGAAGAGTATTAGAATGTGCCACCCCCAAACCTGTCACTTTTTGCAGGACTATTTTGAGCTAAAGGCGAATAGGAAGCTCAAAGGCAAACAGATCTCCGTGCCCACCTGTCTGCCTCAGAGCAAGACGTATATTTCTGTCTGGAAGGTATCGCCTTCCAGCTCCTATTCCAGAAGGAGAGACACCCACACTTACCAGCAGAGACAGAAACTGGGCACCAGAGTGGGTCTGAACAAACAAACCTGACAAAATAGCCCCTATCTTCTAGCAGTTCCCCCCATACACCGACCATCCCACAAGTTGCTACTCCTAGAAGCCAAACCCCCTTTTCTTTGTCTTACTGCTTCTCCACAATTTATCACCATTTGCTAAAATAGTATATCAGAACCTGGTATACCCACTTCTTTGGGTCTTCACTTTTTTTCCATGAAGGTGTCCATGCACATAAAGTTAAAACATTAACATCAAATAAAATTGCTATGCCTTTTCTCCTGTTAATGTGGCTATTGCAAATTTAATTTGCAGTCCCCAAGAACAGAACACTGTGGTGTGACTAAGCCCGAGTGCTGCAACTACTGAAGCCTGAATGCCTAGAGCTTGTGCTCTGCAGCAAGAGAAGCCACCACAATGAGAAGTCCACGAACCGCAACTAGAGAGTAACTTCCACTCTCAGCAACTAGAGGATAAGCCCGAGGAGCAACAAAGGCCCAGCACCGCCAAAACTAAATAAATAAATACAATTTATTAGAGTGAAGTGATTTAGCAAAAGGTTTTAAACAAAAAATGTTGGCCTCAGGGACTTTCCTGGCAGTCTAGAGGTTAAGACTTCGTCTTCCAATGCAGAGGGTGAAGGGATGATCGATCCCTGGTCAGGGAACTAAGATCCCACATGCCTTGTGGCCCAAAAACCGAACCAAAACATAAAACAGAAGCAATGTTGAAACAAATTCAATTAAAGCTTTAAAAATGGTCCACATCAAAAAAAAAAATCACATTGGATTCAATTCAGATTATGGCAAGCCTTAACTATAGTTTAATTAAGGAACTGTATTTGTGGGGAAGTTATTCAAACTACATACAACTTTCATAAACCAGAGTAAGATTATGAAATTTCCATTGTCTATGATATCATGCATTGGAGAAGGAGATGGCAACCCACTCCAGTGCTCCTGCCTTATCCCAGCGATGGCGGAGCCTGGTGGTCTGCCGTCTATGGGGTTGCAGAGTCGGACACGACTGGAGCGACTTAGCAGCAGCAGCATGATATCATGGAATTAGAGAATGTGAAGTTGAAGGAACAAAGGGACATTTGGGGTCAGAGTTGCTCGAGGTCACACAATCCATTTGTGTCAAACCAGAAATTAGGACCCAGAGGTTCTGACTGGAGACACAGCCAGCTTTCACCTGGAGAGCCTGACTCTCTGGAGCTTCTCCTGTTCACTGGGCTTCGCGCTGTCAGCTGGGTCTCATTTTAGAGACGAAGAACCCTGCTGGCTCAGGTGGTAAAGAATCTGCCTGCAATGCAGGAGATCCGAATTCGATCCCTAGAATTCAGCAATGGTGTGAAACACGGTCACTACAAGAAATTGTATTTATTTATTTATTTTTGGCAGTGCCGGGTCTGTTGCTGCGCAGGCGTTTCTCTAGTTGCTGAGAGTGGGAGCTACTCTCTAGTTGCGATGTGTGGGCTTCTTATGGTGGTGGCTTCTCTTGTTGCAGAGCACAGGCCCTAGGGATCTGGAAGGGATCAAAACTTCGAATCCCTAGGGTCAGGAAGATCTCCTGGAGGAGGAAATGACAACCCACTCCATATTCTTGCTGGAGAATCCCATGGACAGAGGAGCCTGATGGGCTACAGTCCATAAAGTCGCAAAGAGTCAGACACAACTGCAGAGACTTAGTACACATGCTCCACTAGTACACATTTTAGAGATGAGGATTTTGAGGTTTAGAAAGGGTAAGAAACTTGCTCCTGCTCCCAGGCTGGAGTGGGGGGTGGGGATGGCTGAGTTTACCTGGAGGCAGGGTGGGGGCTGGTCTCAAAGTCTCCAGCCACCCAGGGAGAAGAAAATGCCTGGGTCCTACCCCAGGTTAATTAAATCAGATTCCCTGGGTAGGAGCTGGTTTTTTTAAAACTTGCCCAGGTGATTCTCCCCTATGTGCCTCTAGGTTTCAGTCTTGTGAGGAGCACAGTCACAGAATAACATTGTAGAAGGCGCTGCCCTCAGGATTCCCTAGAGCAGCAGCAATAACTTGAAACACGGTCACTACGCCAGGTAGAGTTCCTAGAGAAGGAGTCTGCTGAGAATCCATGACAAAACCCGGGGGGTGGATAGGGGGAGCACTAGGACCGCTGGTCACACCAGTGACAGCATCCAAGAAGGTATCTGGGAACGACCATCCTGGGCTCCCAGGCATGTCCCCCCGGACTGCAAGACCGCCCACGGGTCAGGGCCAACCGGGCAAGCTCCTGAGGATAAACCCCTGGGAGCTCCACTTGGAAGGCTGGCCCGATCCAGTCAGAGCCTCCGATTCCGGCCGTGGGGGTGGGGATGGGGTCCGGGGAGATCAGACCCGCCTAGCAACTGTTGCTAAGGACGAGTGGCCTTTGTGATGGAGCATTAGTGACACAATAGGAGGCTGGGCCAGCAGCCTAGTCCATCAACCCTCGTCCCAGACCCTGAATTAGCCCCAAGAGCAGGGAGGGGAGGCCAGGGCTCAGAAGAGAATTCCAGGGCAGACGTCTGGATTAGTAATGTGCTGATGGCTCCCCTACTCTCGGGAGTGGGGGCGTCAGCCCGAAACTCTCCATGGCAAGGGGCCTTTGTTCCGGGGTCAGGCCAGAACCATGGGCAGATCCCATGCCCCTGGGCCTCCACCTTCTAGGAATCCTGGCTGGGTCCAGAGGGAGTGGCGAGAGAGGGGAGCTGGGCAGCTCCCCAGGGGAGACCCTGGAGCCATTTGTCCCCAGCAGGCGTGGCAAGAGGGGAAGGTGGTGAGGAAGCCGACCCTCCAAGCAATTCCTCAGCAACTTCCCCAGATGCCTGCCACGGGCTGAGACCCTCTCTCCCTGCCATCTCTCCCCTCTTCCCCTCCCTCCCGAGCCCAAGGCCCCTCCCCGTGTGGAGGCCTCCCTCCCACTCCCTACTCTGAGAAAGCCGACAGGATGTGACCACAGGAAGCGACCCCCGAGCCAGACCCCCTCAGGGAGCGCCTCTTGAGACGTGATGTGGACCCGAAAGTCTCAAAGCCCAGTCCCTGCTCACTGCCCACATGGCCTGGGCCAGACCCCTCGACTCTTCCCCGCCTCATTCCCACGGGTGTAACTGCAGGTTGTGAGGCTCAGATGAGACGGTGCAGATGAAGCACTTGGAAAAGGTCTCAAAGTGTTGTCTGGGTCAGAGAGCCTGAATCAGAACCTCAGGGTGGCGGTGGAGGTGGCTGGCTAATTAAATGGGCTGCTTCCTGGCCCCAGATTTGGGATCCTGGTAGGTCAGAAGCCAAAGAGCACCTCTAGATTAGTCCCGTGTACACCCACCACTCCTGAGTGTGATGACCACTCCTGGGGCTTCTGGAGGACCTGGGTGGGGGGAGGTGGTCTGGAATGACTCATAGGCTAACTGGGGATCCAGAGCTGGGAGGAAGCCAGTTCCAAGAGGGGGAGGGGGAGGCGGGGCTTAAGCCAGACTCCGGAGGAGGATGGACTGGAGGTGGGGAGCCAAGGCTAGGGGAGAGATGGGATTTCAGGGCAAACTGTGAATGATGGTTCTGGGAGATGCCCTGTCCTCCGCCCTGCACAAGCCAGCCCTAGGCAAGCTCACCTCTTCCCAAAATTCTTCTCCTAGTGGAAGGTGGACTGGACCCTCTCTTTTCTGTTGAAAGGAACATTTGTACTTATTGACTCTGCTCACAAGGCTGGCAAAGTTTCTCCTGGGGGCAAGGTCAGTCCCACTCCCACTTCCCAAGAATCAGAAATAGGAACAAAGTCTGTACTCAGCATTAAACCGTCAAACAAACACCAGATTCTGGTAGAGATGCCCACCCTTACCTGGGATGACTTGGAGGAGGATGAACATACCCAAGGGGAAGGGGGCCAGTCCAGGATGCACAGGAGAGTAGAGACCTGGAGAGTGGGGGGAAGGGGTCCTGACTCTAGAATGACTGGTTCTCAGGGCAGGATCAGCCTCCACCACAGGGCCTGCCAACCCAGCAAGTCACACTAGGGCAATAGAGTCCCTTTAGGGATTCCACCCAGGATTTTAAAATGTATCAGATTCTGAAGAAGAAAAATATCAGATAGTTTGGCTTCAGTAGAAGTTAAGATTTGCCTTCAGACTTCCCTGGTGGTCCAGTAGTTGACAATCCCCTGTCAATGCAGTGGACATGGGTTCGATCCCTAGTCCAGGAAGATTTCATGTTCCTTGGGGCAACTAAGCCCTGTGCCACAGCTACTGGGCCCAAACTCTAGAGGTCGGGCTCTGCAATAAGAGAACCCACCATGATGAGAGGTGCTTGCATTGCAAATTAGAGGTAGCACCTGCTCACCACACCTAGAGAAAGCCCACTTCTGGCAAAAAGACTTAGTACAGCCAAAAATAAATACATAAAAAGTTTAAAAAAGATTTGCCTTCAACCCAAGGCAATAGAAATAAAAATAAATAATACCTAATCAAACTTACAAGGTTTTCACAGCAAAGGAAACCATTAAAAAAAAATGAAAAGACAACCTATGGAATGGGAGAAAATATTTGCAAATGATGCAATAGGCAAGGCTTAATTTCCAAAATATGCAAATGGCTCATATAATCCAGCAAGAAAAAAACTATAGAAAAATAAGCAGATGACCATAATAGACATTTCCCCAAAGAAGACATACAGATGGCCAGAAGGCACATGAAAAGACGCTCAACATCACTCATTATTAGAGAAATGCAAATGAAAACCGCAATGAGGTATCATTAAAAAGTCTACGAATAATAAATGCTGGAGAGGATATGGAGAAAAGGGAATCTTCTTACACTGTTGGTGGGAATGTAAGTTGGTACAGCCACCATGGAGAACAGCATGGAGGTTCCTCAAAAAACTGAAAATAGAGCTACCATATGATCCTACAATTGCACTCCTGGGCATATATCCAGACAAAACTAATTCGGAAAGATACATACACCCTTATGTTCATAGCAGCATTATTTACAATTGCCTAGATTGGAAGAAACCTAAATGCCCATTGACAGATGAATGGATAAAGAAGACGTGATGTATATATACAATGGAATATTGCTCAGCTGTTAAAAAGAATGAAATAATGCCATTTGCAGCACATGGATATAACTAGAGACTTATCATACTAAGTAATGTGAGTCAGAAAGAGAAACATCAAATGATATCACTTAGATGTAGAATCTAAAATGTGACACAAATGAACCTATCTACAAAACTGAAACAGACTCACAGACATAGAGATCAGACCTGTGGTTGCTAAGGAGGGCTGGGAAGAAGAGCAAAGGGCTGAGACTTTGGGATTAGCAGATGTAAACTATTATTTATAGGATGGATAAACAACAAGATCCTACTGTATAGCACAGGGAACTATATTCAATATCCTAGGATAAACTATGGTGGAAATGAGTATTTAAAAAAGAATGTAGGTGTGTAAAATGCAGTCACTTCACTCTACAACAGAGAGCAGAACAACACTGTAAATCAACTATATTTCAATTTAAAAGAAACAGATTTGCCTTCAAGACAGAATTTACCAATCAGGAAGCCTACGTGTCTGGTCTAGTTGACAATTTTCTCTTAAAACTGTATTCTGACTTTCTTGTGCATACATCTGTCACTTATGACTTTGGTCAATGTGTGTCAGTCTCTGGAGCCCTTTTACTTCTGGGTGTACAAACAGTAGAATTTCTGAGCCTACAAAGACTATGGCATTTGGTAACAAAACTGAAATACTGCTGTCCTTGGAGTCAGTCTCCGAGGCCTTGGTTGACTCAGTAATTTGGATGAATGGGCAGACAGTCTGGAAACTTAGTCAGCTGGACACCACAGCCATTCCCATCAAATACTCGCTCCAACATTCTGACCTTGTCTACCCTCACACCCCTAGTCAAATCCACTAGTGGCTTTGGTGCAGCAACTCATGGGCCCCCCCCACCACGTTGAGGTGTCGGGGGAACTTCCCTCCACTCGTCTTTGCAAAAGGCTTTGGGTCCCTGGCCAGGGATCCAGCCCAGAGACCCAAGCCTTACTGTCAATCTTTAACTTGGTTAAACAGCCTCTGTTGCCCCTGGTGATCGTGGGTCGGCTTACTGGCTATCATCTCTGCATCTGGCTTTTAAATTTCTCCAAACTGCGGTAAAGAGAGGGAGGACTTGTTTAGGGCCCTTTCATGTTGGGGAAACTGGTAGGAGGTCCCTTTAGCCCACCCAACCTTAGGGAGTGCTGTATCAAAACCTGTTTTAATCCCATCAATGTCCACTGTTAGCATCCCATTTCTTAACAGCCATCTGAAGTTTCCCACGCTGCTGTGACCAGTCCTGTGGTCCCCCAGTGACCCTTTACAATTGTCCACCTTGTTGGGAAGAGTCCATAACAGCTCCCCTCTTCCCCTTTCCTTTCTCCAGGGCCCCCACTGGCTTGCTAATGAACAGACCGTCTTTATCAGCATCTGAAAGACCCATTCCATTCTGCTTCTCAAACCATTCTGTGTGTTTGAGTTAAGGTTACATTTCTTTATATCCACCTTTTGGTCTTAACATTGGTACCAATAAGACAGGTGTTTACAAAGAGAGGTCACTAAAAAATCTACCAGTTTAGAAGTTTCTCCAGTTCAAAGTGTCTGCCATGGACAGTAGGATCTTAACACAAACACACACCAATCAGGCTTTCCGTGGCTTAGCCGTGAACAAGAGGTGTTACAGGAGAGGCAAAGAACATGGCCACAGCAGATCCAGAGAGCTGGCTCCCCAAGATGGTCTGAGAAAGCAAAGACTGTAGTGAAGGCTGAGATGACAGAAGCCCCCGTGGACGGGGACCCCTTGTGACAAACCCTCCTAGGAGCCGGCACGATTGTGTGCTTCCCACCAGCAGTGACAGCCAAGAATCCCACTGGATCTGACTGGCCACCAAATGCCCCGAGCCTGCACCTTCTGGATGGTAGGACCAGGGTGAGTTTTCTCACTGGTCCTGAGGTCAAACTCTCAAAACAGAACAAGAAAAAAGGAAAAGCCATCATGCCAAAGGTTTTCCTCCTTATGACACAACAGAGACACAGGAAAACAGATACCATCTCTGGGAGGAAAAGGATTAACAAGCCCAGAGCTCTACCAACTTCACCATCCCAGAAGCTCTAAGCCCCAGGAACCAGCTCCACAAATATTTTCTCCTGCTGACCTAATTTTAGAAATGAGAAAAAAGACTCTTACCACTCCTGCTTCCAAAAACCCTGCAGGCAGAGATGCGGGGACTGACTGATGGATAAGGGTTCTCACCTTCTGCCAGGGTTTCTGGGCTGTGGCAGCCTGGGGCCACCTAGGCAACTGGCCAGCTGTCAAGGAAGGTGGAGGGTGCAGGGCAGCTGGGGGTGGGGACTGGGGGGGATGGGGTAGATGGGGAGCGGGAGTGGCATTTCCCTCTAGGTTCTTCTGGCTGGTCTAAGAATTAAGCTGACATGAGACAGATTGACAGGAGAAAATGAAGCACAAGCTTCATAACACCGGTACACGGGAGAGACGCAGGAAGAGGGAGCCACTCACCCAAATGGCTGAAGCCCTTGCCTTAAATACCCTCTTCAGCTTAAGACAAAGAGGGTGTTGGGGGTGGGGGTTTGGGACTTCAAAGGGGAGGAAAGCAATTTACCGGGTGATAAACAAGTATTTGGTGAATACACGTTTTCTGGGCCCACAGGGACAAGGGACAGAGAGGACTCTGGTTTCAAGCCCTGAAGTCTCTGTACCAAACCTGCGGTATTCTCTGCAGAGACTGGTGACAGCTCTATTCTGGGAATGGGCCCTTCATCTAGGTTCTTTAAGAACTTAGAGGAGGACTTCCCTGGTGGTGCAGTGGATAAGATTGTACTTGCCAACGCAGGAAACACGGGTCTCTCTTCCCTGGTCTGGGAACATTCCACATGCCATGAAGCAACTAAGTCCATCCATCACAACTACTGAGCCTCTGCTCTAAAGCCCGGGAGCCCCAGCCACTGAAGCCCGCACACCTACAGGCTGTGTCCACAACAAGAGAAGCCACCGCAATGAGAAGCCCTCACACCACAATGAAAAATCGCTTCTGTTCACCGCAACTGGAGAAAAACCCGGCCAGCAACGAAGACCCAGTGCAACCAAAAATAGGTAAATAAATAAAAATACTATTTTTTACTTAGGAGGAAGGTCAAAGGCTCTTCCTGAGTCCTATGGGCCTTGACTTCTTCTGCTCAAAATAACCCACAGGCCGAGGGACAACTTGAGGGTGAGCTGCTCCCCTGCACTACAAAGCATTCACACTCCTGTGAGCCCCCCAGAGGGAGTCAGTCAGTACCTAGGACACCCCAACCCCGCCTCCCCCCCAGAAGTCCTCTTCAAAGACCCACCAGGAGCATCCTCTCTTGGCCATACTTGGCTCCCCTGGGCTCCTCATAGGACGCCCACTCTGCCCCCAGCCTGGACCCGAGACACCCCAGCAAAGCTGAGGTCAGCCCAGCTCATGCACCTGAGACTCTGTCACCCTTTTCCACTGGCCAACATGCAAGGTCCTACTCAGCGATTTTCTTTTTAATACTTTAACACTTTGGGATATTTTTGGACTCCTCCTAATCTTTCCCATTCCTTTCCCTTTGACCTTCCTTCCTCAAAGTCAAATCAGACATCTCTATTGCCCACAGAAGAGACCGACCCCCAGGGACTTCCCAGCCCCCACTCTACACGCAACCAGACCCGTGTACCAGACGGCTCAGCACTGAGCCTGCACTGAGGTCGCCGTCCTGCAGCACGCTTTGACAGGAAGGCAGGCGGTCAAGGACGTCCAGGCTCGAGGCACTGCCCAGAGTGCAGGTAGGTGTCCAGGCACCAGCAGGCCCCGAGTGTCTGGGGGCGCTGGGACGTGGGGGTTGTGGGGGAAGGGAGGTGATGGGCAGTGGGGACTAGCCCAGCGCATTCCAGGGCTCCGTGCTCACACGGCCCCTGGACAGGCGCCAGACCCCCAGGGGTGAAGCCGGGGCTTGGTGCTGGGGGGCACCAGGTAGGGAGCCACTGTCATTCTGTCACTCTGCAGGGTGACAGCAGAACCTGGCCCAAGCAGAGGTGAGAGGAGATGGCTCACCGGATACAGTGAGGCTCTGATCTCCAGGTAGAGCACGTTGTCCTGGTAGAATTCCTCCAGGCCCTGGGACAGGTAGTCCCGGAACACCGGTGCATATCTCACCAGGTTCCCCATCACGAAGAAGATGGTCTCGAACTTAGCCCAGATCGCATCCTGGTCTGTGTAAGTCACGTGGGGGTTCTCGGTCATCAGAGTGAGATTTCTCAGCAGGCTGTCAGGACACAGAGGGTGGGGGGAGGCGTGCCACAGGCAATCACCCCGGCCCTTGCTCCGGTGGAGGCCCCCCACCCTAGGACCTGCACTTGCTCCCCAGGAGACAGCAGGCAGGACACACACCCACCCCAGCCAGGCCCACCTGTTGCCTTCCGCCTCTTAGCCAGGCTGACCCCACAGAACGAACATCCCAGGTCAAGCTCTCCTTGGAGGGTATCATGCACTGAATTGCATCCCCCAAATTCATATGTTGAACCCTAATCCCCAGGGTGACTGTGTGTGGAGATGGGGCCTTTCAGGAGGTGGTGGTGGTGGCTTCCCAGCTGGCTCAGTGGTAAAGAATCTGCCTGCCAATGCAGGAGACACAGGAGTTGAGGGTTTGATCCCTGGGTCGGGAAGATCCCTGGAGGAGGAAATGGCAACCCACTCTAGTATTCTTGCCCAGAGAATCATGTGGACAGAGGAGCCTGGCGGGCTGCAGTCCATGGGGCTGCAGAGTCAGACAACTGTGTGACTAAACCACCAGCACCAAGGGCAGAGAGCTGCATGAACAGGGCCAGCATCTGAGACCCTAGGGTTGCATAGAGAGTGAGAAGACAGCTGGCCATTAGCCCAGGAAAGGGGCCTCAGAGAAACCTGCCCACACCTTGATCTCGGAGTTCCAGCTCCAAGAACTGTGAGAAAATGCATTTCTCTCCTTTAGGCCACCATCTCTGGCATCCCACTGGGGCAGCCCCAGCAAGCTCAAACTTGAGGTCTGATGGAAATGACTGTGGACTTGGCATCCCAGGACATGAGTAACTTCCCTGTTGAGACATTCATTCATCAACTGTGTGGCCCTGAGCAACCTCCTTACTCAGGCTGAGCAGCATTTTCTTACTCATAAAGGAAACAGTTCCAGAAAGCCCTCTGTAGATGGTTCTCTGATTAGAAGAGTTATAGTAATTCTTTATAGGTCTGTTAGGAAGCTGCTCATTATGTTTTCAGGCTATCTCATCCACCTGGGACCCTCTCGGCTCTGAGAGCCAGGAATTTCCTTGTCTCTACCCTTGCTGATGGAGAAGGCAATGGCACCCCACTCCAGTACTCTTGCCTGGAAAATCCCATGGACGGAGAAGCCTGGTAGGCTGCCATCTATGGGGTCACACAGAGTCGGACACAACTGAAGTGACTTAGCAGCAGTAGCAGCAGCACCCTTGCTGAGGGTCCAGACACAGCAGCAGAGTTGCTGATCAAATCAGGTCTACACGTACCAGGAGTTTGATTTGGATGGGAAAGGCATGGAACACTGTGGTGAAGCAAAGCATCCTGTACAGTTAAGAGAAAAGGCCTCCTGGTTTTTTTAAGGTCAGGTGTTTCTAGAAAGGTCTGTTGCACGGGGACACCGCATGCCACCCCCACCCATGAAGGTGAGAGACAAGCTCTTTGCAAACCAACACCCACCTGTTGTCAAACTCCGAGACGTTATGCAGCCCCTTCCGAAACTTCTCCAGCAAAACCCACTGGGGACATTCTGCCGGCTTCGGGGTGGGGGGAGTCGGATGAGCAAATCTGAACTGCGGGATCCCCCTCCGGGTGAAGCAAAAATAGCAGTAGGGCCTGTACGTGGCATTTTTCACCAGCCAGTCCGGGCTGGTGATGCTGAAGTCGTGGACGTGAAGGGCGGCCCCTGAGGGGGAGAGTGGGTGGGCGGGGTTTCTATGGGGCGAAGTTCTTGGGAACCCAGGGCCCTTTCCCTCTGCGGCTCAGAGCGGCCACAGCCTCCTGGTTCCCTGAGTCCCTCCCTCACCAGGAGGGGCCCTGGGTGGTCTCATTCAAGAGGCAGCAGGCAGGTTTGGAGTTGGAAGACTGGCTTCCAGCTCCTGTCAGGAGCCTGACCTCCAAAGGAGTCCTCAAGTGGCCCAGTGTTATGTGAGGGGGTTTAAGAAGAGGAGCCCCACCTGCCCCCTGGCCTGTCTGCCCAGGATCCTCGAGTCCCCCATCCAGTTCCCCATTACCCCATCTGCTGCCTGCCAGCTCCCTGCTTTCTGCCAGCATCGAGCAGCTTCCTCCAGACCTCACCCTGACTTGAGGCTCAGTGTCCACCTCCTCTGCTCTCTGGCCTTGACGCTCACCGCATGACAGGTGTCACACTGTATGAGCTCTGCCATGTTCCCTCCCTAAACAGTGAGGCTACCTTACCGACCTCACAGTTTTTACATTGTTTAATCTCTACAATACTAAAAAAAAAAGAGGACAGAAAAATCCTTACAAGCTGCAAACTGCAATTTATGTGTTCACAGTGACAACGCATTTCTGTACTAGTCTCAGCTACAAATTGGCACTTGCCATCTACCTCTACAAGATTAAATTATGAGCTGCTGCAGCTGTTGGCCTTCAACACCCCTGAAAGGAGTTCAGGGTGGAGAGCAGAAACGAGGCCCTCTTGTGCTCTAGGAAAAACTGGCTGGACAGTTTTCTGATAGTTGGATATTTTCAGGAGATGAGCTTATGAACCCACTTCTTGCATCTCCACATATCTAGAAAAGCACTGAAATCCTTCATGGTGACATCCGCTCCTCGTGACTAACAGTAATCTACACACAACTAGCAAAAACCTGCAAAAAATGTGTGCTTGATTGCAGGAACTCCCCTTCACCAAAATCACGTATGTGCTGACCTCCCCCCTGCCCCCACTGCCACCTCTTTGGAGCAGCTTCTCAGAATTATCTGAGATGCTATAGTCTTCATTTTGCCCCAAATAAAACTTAATTCACAACTCTCAGGTCATGCATTTTTTCCCAGTGGATGCTCACAATGACCTACAAGAAATGTGTTTGTCCAGGATGTTTGGTAACTTGACCCCTGGAAAGGCTAGAAGAGCATATGAAAGGAGGGATGAGGTTCTTGTGGGGAACAACTTGCAAGCCCACCAGGGATGCCCGGTGACACCCAGGCCTCCTCCCTGTCTGTCTGACACTGAGTCCACTCAGTGCCGGGGTTTTGGTTTCCAGGGTGGACAGAAGCCACGTGGACTCCCGCCCCCTGTCCACCAGGGAGAAGGAGCACACAGGACCCCCATGGAGTTTGCGCTCCACTAGAAGAGAAACCATCAAATGCAATTTAGTTCCTCCAAGTCCCCAGGGCCCCAGAACTCTCCCCTCCAGGCCCCTACCTTTAGGCATCTTCTTCAGGATGTTAAACACCTCACTTTTCTCAATGAGGTTCTTGGCTTGGAAGAAGTGCATGCTGGGCAGGATGTTCCCCGTACTCAAGGCCTCATGCATCTCAGCCTCCTTGAGGGCCCTGAGCCTCTGGTTGGCCAGCTCCTCCTCCTGCGTCAGCACCAACTGCCCACCCACCCGCATCATCTTCTCTCTCGTCAACAGCTGGTTTCGCGTTTCATCTCCGGACATGGGCGTGGCCGGGCAGAAAGAAGACACAACCATGGCCAGCAGCAGGGAGGGCAGGGCCAGCCGCCCCGACATTGATGTGGGATGCCTGGAAGAGGAGATCCCTCAGCTGTAGACTTGAGGTGGGGAGGGGGCAGGAAACTACAGATCTAAGTGTTGAAGCTGGAGGAGGTTCAGTAGATTACCAGGAGGCAGCATACAAAAAACTCTTCTCCGAGAACCCAGAGAAGAGATCCCTGAAGACAGACAAGGACAGTCTCCCCACACAAACACTCGTCATGAAGCTCCCAGATGGGAGCTTGTCCTTAACGAGCCCTGCTCACATTCAGAGGAAGACACCATAGACTGGGTTTTACTTTCAAATATAACCCTGGTGGTTCAGCTAGTCAAGAGTCCACCTGCAATGCGGGAGACCCCGGTTCCATTCCTGGGTCAGGAAGATCCCCTGAAGAAGGGATAGGCTACCCACTCCAGTATTCTTGGGCTTCCCTGGTGGCTTAGCTGGTAAAGACTCCACCTGCAATGCAGGAAGCCCTGGTTTGATCCCTGGGCCAGGAAGATCCCCTAAAGAAGGGAAGAGTAACCCATTCCAATATTCTGGCCTGGAGAATTCCATGGAATGTACAGTCCATGGGGTTGCAAAGAGTCGGACACGACTAAGTGACTTTCACTTAATAACCAGAGAGCAGAAGGTCACGAGGCTTGTGAAGAAAGCCACAACATGAGAAAGGAACTAAAAAAAACAGCCCAGACAAGAAACTAGCACAGAAAAATGAAAAGAAGTCCTGAAGAACCATAGTTAACCTCCTTACAGGAACGAGAAAACATGCTTCTATGAAACAGGCAAAGCACAGTGTGAAAAATACACAAAACAGGAAAGAGCTTTCAGAAATTAAAAGCAGGAGTGCTGAAATTTAAAACGTTTACCAGCAATATTAAAAGATGGAACAGAAGAGACCATTTCAGAAAGCAGGACAAAAACAGGAGCAAAGAAAAGAAGAATATTGGGTTCAGGAAACCCAACACCCAAAAAAAACAGACATTTCAGAAGGAAAAAGAAACAATAGATGGGAGGAAAAAGGGAATAAATAATATAAGAAATTGTCCCAGGGGCTCCCCTGGCAGCCTAGTGGTTAAGTCTTCGTTTCCCAATAATATCCCACATGCTGCATAGCCAAAAAACCCAAACCACACAGCGGAAAGAGTATTGTAACAAATTCAATAAAGACCTTGAAAAAATATTGAAAAAAAAAGAAACTGTCCCAGAACTGAAGATCTGCCCCGCTGGGTGTGCAAGACTTGCTGAGCATGCACCAAGTATCAACGGCGATATCTCAGAAACTGAGCACTGATGCTTCCGGCAGCTCCCAAAGAGCAGCTGGCCTGGATGGCCAGTGAGCGGGGGCTTGTGGGCAGAATCAAGGAGCTCCCTGGTTGGGTCTACCAGCAGCCCCTGACCTGGGCTGACTCCTGGAACCACATAAATGTGGAATTCCTAATGCACACTTGAGGGTACGCTCCTTTCTCCCAGGAAGTATCAAGGCTGTAAATGAGGAGACCCCAGGCCCAGCCCCAAATGAGCACGTCCTGGAGAGACGTCAGGCTCATCGCTTCATGTCTGAGGGCCTGTCTCCTCACTTGCAGCAAGGGTGAACTGGGTAAGACCAGTGCTTCTCAAAGTGGGAATCGTGTCTCAATTTTGCTCATCTGGAATAAAATACTTATAAGACGCCACGCTCCCCATGCAGGGGGCCTGGGTTCAATCCCTGGTCAGGGAACTAGATCCCACAGGCTGCAAGTGAGAGTTAGCATGCTGCAACTAAAGAACCGAGAGTTCAAATGCAGCAATAAAGATCCCAGGTGCCGCAACTATGACCAGATGCAGCCAGACAAATAAATAAATTAAATAATTTTTTTTTTTAATTGAAAGTGTAATCATCATCAGGACACCTTGTCTAAGATCCTTTCCAGGGCTGGCTTTCAATTATTCAGTGGTTATATCAGACTCCAGCATGGCAGAGCTGGACCTCAAATCTGAGAACTGGGCTTTGGGAAAATCCCTGCCACTTCACCAGGTCCTCAGATCTCTCCCCAGATGACAGTGTTTGTCGAACCTGAAGTCTCCAGGCAGGGGACAGTGACACCATCCCTTACACACTGCTACCTGTCACAGAGCCGTCTTATCCCACCCACGTCCTCCACCCAGGACCCCACCTCTCATCCCCTCTCCCCCAGTGACATTGAACAGGAGCCACCACCCCCAAACCTCCCACTCAGTCCTCTCCATGGACCCCACAGCATCCATGTGGCCAGCAGCCAGGGCTCCTCCCAGCCGGCCAGACGGAAGTGTGTCCAGCGCTGGTCAGGAGCAGCCCAACGGAGCGGGACAAGAAGTCATCTAGTCCAGGTGCTCACTCATCTCCTCCCTCTGGGACCTGGCACTTACGCTTTTGAAGAAGGCGCAGAAAAATGCTACAAAAACAGCTTGTTTGCAGACTAAGAAAGGAACTTGTGCATCTGTGAGCCTGAGTCACAAACTGGGGCCTTGGCAAGTGGCGCAACCCCAGCTGCCCTGCCCCTCCCACCCCCAGGATCACCCCAAGGGCGGGCCCCCGCCCAGATGAGTCCCTACTGCCCCCAACCACCTACACGCCTCGGCCCCAGGCCCCACCCAAGGGACCCCAATTACCTCGGGACAGCTCCAGAGAGAGTGACTGTGGGTTCCGTTCCCACAAAGGCCCTTTGGAAACCGGGGCTCACAGTCTTTCACTTCCCTGGGGCAGGGTTTCACTTCCCTGCAGCCTGGGGGTGGGGTGTGGCCTGCTGCGTCTGTGTGTGCACACGTGCGTGTTTCTGTGTGTGTGTGAGCATCCATGTGAGAGCCATACAGGCATGTGCTGTGTGTGTGTCATGTGCAGGTGGGTCATGCTCATTTGTGGGTAGGGTGTGAGTGGCTGTGCCCCCAGGCTGGAGGCACTCGATCCTGCTCATGGACATTGGGAAGTAGTCCTCCTCAGAAATATGGGGTGAAGCGTGGGCCGACCCACTGGACAGTGGGTGAAAAAATAGAAGTGACAAAAGGTAGATGTTTGAGAATTCCCCTGTGGCCCAGAGGTTGGGACTCAGTACTTCCACTGCCGAGGGCCTGGGTTCAGTCCCTGGTTGGGGAACTAGGATCCCACAGACCTCCAGTGCAGCCAAAATAAATAAATAAAAGTACATGTTTTCAGAGGAATCACGGGTGTGGGGCAGGACAGTGGAGGGTGGGGGTGGGAGGTGGAGAGGCTGTAAGGAAGGGAGGTGGGAAGGGGCGCCCCTCCAGGAGGGAGGGCAGAGTAGACACAGCACTGATGCGCTGAGGCTGCAGCCAGGCCTAGATCTGCACCAGCCCAAACACTCACAGCCTTGTGGCCTTGGCGTGTCATTTCAATGCTCTGAACCCAGTTTCCTGGACTGAGAGTGGAGGTCGGAGAAACAGCGCTGCGCAGGGTGCCGTGGGGGTCAGAGGGGAGGCCTGTGATGGGCCGGCTGTCCCGTGTGTTCCTGATACTGTCAGTGTCACTGTTGTCAGAGACAGGGCCGCTTGCAGTGCTGCAGTTGCTGGGGTCTGCGGCAGGAGAACCCTCTGTGGACAGTGGCCCAGGGGAAGTTCCCAGCTCAGACTAGATCGCCCAAGGCTGGTTCATGCAGGTGGGCAGAGATGGGGAACAGGGCTGTCTCTGACTCAAAACAAAACCCAGAAAATGCTGAGACCAAATCCACAATGAGGATTACTTCCCAAGACCTGCCAAAGAGCCCCCAGTGTTTGCTCAGCCTCTCAGCCAGCCTGGGGCTAAGGTGGGCTCCCAACTGGGGCAAGGGGTGGTGTGCCCAGTGTGCAGTGCCCTCAGTTCAGTTCAACTGCTCAGTCATGTCCGACTCTTTGAGAACCCATGGACCGCAGAACACCAGGCTTCAGTGTCCATGATCAACTCGCGGAGCCTACTCAAACTCATGTCCATTGACTCGATGATGCCATCCAACCATTTCATCCTCTGTCGTCCCCTTCTCCTCCTACCTTCAATCCTTCCCAGCATCACGATCTTTTCCATTCCATCAGTTCTTCGCATCAGGTGGCCAAAGTATTGGAGTTCCAGCTTCAGCATCAGTCCTTCCAATGAATATTCAGGACTGATTTCCTTTAGGATGGACTGGTTTGATCTCCTTGCAGTCCAAGGGACTCTCAAGAGTCTTCTCCAACACCACAGTTCAAAAGCATCAATTCTTCAGCGTTCAGCTTTCTTTATAGTCTAACTCACATCTATACATGATTACTGGAAAAACCAAAGCTTTGACTAGACAGACCTTTGTTGGCAAAGTAATGTCTCTGCTTTTTAATATGCTGTCAAGATTGGTCATAGCTTTTCTTTCAAGGAGCAAGCGTCAAAAAAAAAAAAAAAAAAGGAGCAAGCATCTTCTAATTTTATGGCTGTAGTCACTGTAGTGATTTTGGAGACCCCAAAAATAGTCTCGCACTGTTTCCATTGCTTCCCCATCTATCTGCCATGAAGCGATGGGACTGGATGCTATGATCTTAGTTTTCTGAATGTTTAGTTTTAAGCCAACTTTTCACTCTCCTCTCTCACTTTCATCTAGAGGCTCTTTAGTTCCTCTTCACTTTCTGCCAGAAGGGTGGTGTCATCTGCATATCTGAGGTTATCAATATTTCACCCGGCAATCTTGATTCCAGCTTGTGCTTCATCCAGCTCGGCATTTCGCATGTTGTACTCTGCATATAAGTTAAATAATCAGGGCGACAATATACAGTCTTGACATACTTCTTTTCCTATTCGGAACCAGTCTGTTGTTCCATGTCCAGTTCTATTGCTTCTTGACCTGTATACAGATTTCTCAGGAGACAGGTCAGGTGGTCTGGTATTCCCATCTCTTTAAGAATTTTCCACAGTTTGTTGTGATCCACACAGTCAAAGGCTTTGGCATAGGCAACAAAGCAAAAGTAGATGTTTTTTCTGGAACTCTCTTGCTTTTTTGATGATCCAGCGGATGCTGGCAATTTGATCTCTGGTTCCTCTGCCTTTTCTAAATCCAATGCACCACCCTGGTCACCCCCAACTTGCCGAGCACTTGCATTAACACCCAGAGTTGCTCCTAGGTGTGCCCACGCCAGCACCCCGCCACGCTTCCTCTCCCCCAACGCAAATAGAAAGATTTGGGGTGACTCCACCACAAACACGGAACCTGGAGAGGCTTGTATTAAAATGCTAATGCAGGTGTCTTAAGTATTTTAAAGTTGCAATACCAGAAACAGACTGCCCCAGGGCCACCGGGATTACCTTTTAAATGCAAACGACAATAATGAATCTTTAAGTGCAGTTATTGTCAGGGTGAAGAGCTGATGCAGGCTGGAGTGACGGGACCTACTGGGTGGGCCAGCACTTTATTAAAAAAACAAAAAAAACATCCATCAGGGCTGAGAAGAAAGAGACCGAAAGGGGACGCAAGATCCCAGGAGAGGTGATGGAAAGTTCCCGGGACAAGCCAGGGCGTCGACCGAGGACGGGATCCCGGGGTCAGTAACTCAAGGTGACATGGAGGACATTTATTCCACCAGAAAACTAGCGGGGTGGGGGAGGGGGTGAGAATCCGTCAGGGATAGAAACAGGCACAGAACTGCAAGCTCGACCGAGTGCAGGAACTCAGATCAAACGGGGGCATCGGGGGCACCCTCCCCATGAGAGCCCCCTTTCCCCCAGAGCCCCCTGCCATACCAGCACCCCCGAACCCCGCCCCTCAGGCTCCATGTGGGTCCTGACCGCAGGGACACCAAGCAGAGTTTATTTTGATGTTCCCAAAGTCCGGCCGGCTAAGTACTCACTGATGAAGCAAAGTCGAGCCTCTCCTGCTCTTTTGCTCATTCACCAAATGGTTCTGAGACCTGTTCTGTGCCTGGCCCTGTGCGGGAGGGGCAGTCCTTCCCTCTGCAGTCTGTATGGAGAGGAGAGCACGGGTCAGTGATTCGTGACTTACAGGCGTGGAAAGAATCGCATCTAAGGTCTGGAGGAATGAGACCAGTGTAGGAGGCAGAACCACCCAGGGCAGGGGAGCCGGGCAGTGTCCACAGGGGGGGTGACATTTTAAATGAGACCGGGTGGGGGGTGAGGTGGGTAGAAGTGACAGAGGGAGGAGGGGCATCCTCGCGGGGTCAGGGTTGTATGTGCAGAGGTCTTGGGGAAGAGTGAGGAAGGGAGGGAAGGAGGGAAACAGAGGGTGCCTGGCTCCAGGCTGGATGTGGCTGGGCATCTGGGGCCAACAATCCCATTTCAGCCCAGCCTCTGTGGCTAGCCAGCCCCACACCAGCTTGAAGAGCGGCCCTCGGCCTCCCCCGCGGTGCCCCCCTCACCCCCGGAGTCCCCAGGGGTGACAGTAGAGTTGTGTCACCCGATGATCTGTAGGAAGGACAGCCCCCTCACCCCTTCAGGAGCCTGCAGGGCACTTGGGTCATTTCTGCATAAGGAGGCCGAGGGCCAAGGTCGGGAAGGGCCTTAGGCTGCAGGCTGACGTGTGCGCCCTGCTGTGGGCTGAGCTGACCGTCTTAGGTGAAGAGGAATCTGCTGGTGAACCTTCTCCAGGCAACTGAGAACTCAGAAGAATCAGGAGAGGAGGGGGAGCAGGCTGAAGTGGTCAGAGGAGCTGACCCCATGAGTCAGAGTGTTATCGAGTCCACGCTCACTCTGCTTACTGCATGACAGGCCAGTGAATCCGAGAGATGAGGTGAATTCCTCAATGGCAAGGAAGGGACTTTAATCAGGGAGTCAGTAGACCAAGAAGATGGCAGGCTAGCGCCTCAAGCCTCAAAATAACCATCTTATTGGGGTTTGGATGCCAGGTTCTTTTTATAGATCAGAGAGAAAGAAGCAATGAGGAACCAACGTCAAAAAGCAGAATAAAGGAGATGCGGTGAGAAGTAAAGGGGAAGGGTTTTCAGTTTTGCAGAGCATCTCCAAGAGTATGTCCAGCCTTCAGAAGGGGTGTGTTAATCTCTTCTATTCACAGGTGGGCAGGTACAACATATCTCTCTAGGAGCTGAACAAAGGCACTTTGGTTTACAGTCAAGCAGAGGGGCAGGATCTTCCAGGCAAGCCATTGAGTACGATTATAATAGTAAAAGCAAGTCGAAGAAAACAGTTTCCAACATGGAGTCAGAATTGGCTTCCTCCCTGCAACAAGAGCAGGGCACCCCCAGGTTGGGAAGGGGTCAGGACCGTGGCTGAGCTGGGGCCTCCTTCTGGGGCTGGGGATTTGGCGGCAGCTCACACCACCCTGGGGTGCATGGCTTGGAGGGCCCGGGGCTGGGCAGAAGGGCCGGCTCCTACAGAAAATCCGAGAGCACTTTCAGAGGCATTGAGACCATCTCTCTGTCCAACCGTGACTCAGCTTCACAAATTCCAGCTCGAGCCTCCATGCCTGGAATAGACTGTCACCAAGCCAGCTGGTCACTGGCCTTAGAGACGTTAGAACTGGAGAGGAATCAGTGGTCACAGGCAGGAAATGACACCATGTGAAGCTGGTCACTGACGGTCATTGAGCACCTAGCCGAATGTTGGAAAAGACCAGCAGGCCACCAGTAGAGACAGACTGGGTGCCTGATAGACTGTTCAGGGGGTGCTGTGCCTTATCCAGACAGGAAATCCTTCCTTCTCTGCAAACTTCACTCACATCAAGAGAAAAAATAAGGATGCAGAGAGGC